TCTGTTAACATAAAATCACTAAACTCTTAACAATGATTTTTTGAGGTCATTTTACAAGATCAGCAGACATTCATCTATCTCAAATAAGATGGAATAAAATTAGAGAAAGTCTTTTCACAGATCCACAGATGTAGGATAGTTAATCAGGTGAATAATAAGCTAGGGAATTAGGACACTGGATGGACTGGTTTAATATGACAGATATTTATCAACAGCAAGAATACTTTGTCTTGCAGGACATAGTTCAGAGAAATGGCAAACAAATGTGTATCTTGGTGAAATCAAAAGTGAGAAATTGTATGTAACACAAGTGTGAATAGAAATATGGCAATTTATATGTGGCCAGAGAATATAATTTTATATGAAGTATAAAGGCTCTGATGTGGTGTAAGAAAATGTGCAACAACTACAGCAGCGTCAAACTCCTCAAGAAACACAAAGTATGTATCAGAAGTCAAGCTAAGCATTAACTTGGCATTAAGTGTCATGAGAAAAGATTCTTTCTTTTGCCACGCTATTCTGACTTTTCCATCACTCAAAAGTGTTTTTTTTTTTCTGCCAGTGTTCTAGAAATAAATTCGAATGCACTTAAGGGCATGAAAAACTTTTCTACTATTATTAGAATAAAAATCAACTGCAAAGGAAAAGTGTTCTTTCCAAATCAATGTATTAAATGCCCTCTCTATGGAATCAGTTATATACAACTGCTCTGTGATATAAACACATCCTCCTGTCCATATGAAAGATCTAAATCTTTGGAATTTTAATATAAATACTGAATTTCCTATTACACTATGGATATTGTAACTATAGTCCAGTCACTTAATCTTTCTTTACTTAGGTTTATCAACTGAAAAACTAGAATTATGATATAATTCTACCTTCTTATCATACTATCTAAGTTAAACTGAGCCCAAGTACACTATTTTTATGTGGTCGTAATAAATGTGTTATATAAAGGTATGAATGCTATTTTAAGATGTTTAATTATTATAATTGAAAAAACGGCACAATTGTCCAAATGGATGAAATAAAAGGATCTAATCTAAATTATCACTGAGTGTATCAGGTTTGTGCAGGAAGAACTGATACGACAGATACTTTAGTGACCACTTCCTTTGTGCCGAGCACTTTTACATGCACAGTGTCACTTGACTGTCATGGCACTTTGCAGTAAATACGACTACTTTAGAAGTGCGAAAACTGGGACTTGTGGAAGCCATGTACACTGCCCAAATTCATCCAAGAGGGAGGTGAGAGAGACCCAGATCTGAACAACAGCTAGGGTCCTTTATTGCACCATTCTGTGACTGCCTCTCCAAATTCAGGTTCTCTCTTCATGCAACCCAACATGTTGCAACACTCCATAAAGTCCTGTCTCAAACCGTAAGTGGAATCCTATAGTAGTTAAAGTCAACACACACTGTCTGAAATCTTATTCCATGCCAAAATTCACAATGAAATGAATGCCCCTTTGTCATCCAAATGAAAATAAATATAGGAGAATCTGTCCATATAAGCTAGTGGGTTAGATATGGAAACATTGTCTGAAGCTATTCTTAATTGTATGGGTTTAGTAAGAAAATGTATTTTCCATACATATGATCAAATGTTTCCCATGCAATCCATGGCAACTTCAACTAGAACATTTAGGCAAATACTCATTTACTACCTCAAGGGAAAAAATGTAATCATGCATTATTTGGAAGTTTTTTTCACCTTTGGAGTTATAACAGATATTTTTTTACCTCTTCCAAACCAGAAAATGTTACAATGGTCCAGGAAAATGGCATATTAGAGGCAGAAGTGTTATCCATTATCAGGGTGAAATTAGTAAAATAAATAAGCACTCACTGACCTCATAGGTATTTAGTACATTTTTTACCTAAATATTTTAATTATGGCAATTTTCCATTACAGTTATTTTTAAGGGAAATATACAAGATTAATTTTAGAAAAGGCTAAACAAATGTATTCTAATATAGAGGAGAATGATATAAATGGGTTATTTTTCACCATTGATTTCTAAAGGAAGAATGTATGTTTTTGTTTATGTAACAGAAAAATAATTTTTAAAACTTCTAAGTATAAATTAGTATGGTTTCAGCTAGGAAAAAACAATAATTAATATATATATATCACATTTAAATGTTTGAGCCTTAAAGCAGGCTAACTCAATTTTGGTTTTCTAAAATACATACATTTTTATGATGACACATATTATGAACAGTGAGTGTCACAGTGAGTTCAACTGACCTTTGAAAGTCTTAGGAGAACTTCCAGTCAAGACGATGGTGTAGACAGACATGACTCACGTCCTCATGCAACCACATCAAAATTACAACTAAAATATAGAACAACCATCACTCAACCATCAGAACTCAAGTTGAATGGGAGTCTGACAACTGCAGAGTAAAAGCATCCATCCAGACTGGTAGGAGGGAAGCAGATTACAAACGGGAAGATCCCTACCCTATGTGGTAGACAAAAATTGGGGAGAGATGTCTCAGGAGTGAGGAGTCCCCACCCCACACCGGGCCTTCCAGCCCAGGGTTCCAGTGCCAGGAAGATAAGTCCCTGCAACTTCTGGCTGTAAAAACCAGTGGAGATTGAGTCAGTGGAGGAGGCTTCTGGAGTCCCAAGCAGTTTTTCTTAAAGAACCTATACACAGACTCACCTACCCAGACTCACTCCCTCTGAGCTCCAGTACAGGGTAGCAGCTTGAAAGTCACCGGTGGCATACTGGGAAAAACGGAAGTGTCTGGCATCAAGGTGAACAGAAGCTATTGTCCATTTTTCAAACCCTCCCCCAATAGAACCGGCAAGCTGGTACCATATCTGAGACTCCCTCAGCCTAGCTAACACTGTTTGACCCACCTAGGAGATCCCCAGAGACTCTGTCCCACTGAACTTACAGACTCACCCACATGAATGGCTGGTGTTGATTCAAACTGAACAACTTTCTAAATTCTCTCAGACAAGCAATAACTGGCCTCAGTGAGCCCCAGGCCCAGTACTAGCAGCCAGCCTGGATTAAGAGTTTGGCTTTATCTGGGGATCTCCAAGCCCAGCACAAGTAGCAGCCATCTTGGATTACTTTATAGCTGAGGCTGGGTGGCCCCAGGCAAAACACAGATGGGGACTGACTTTGGCCTGCACCACCCAGGAAACCCCAGAGCCAGTGCATCCAGTGGACAGTTACAGACCACATCAGAGCACCACCACCCTGCCCCTGCAGTTGACCCTCCAAGGAGGGCAGAGGTTGGTGGTCAGTGGTCACAGCCAATGCTTACAGCTGACTGGCCTGAGGAAATTCCTCCCATTGATCTGCCAGCAGCAAATAAGGCTTAATTATAAGAGGAGGGTGTACTCAGCTCACAGGAAGAACACACCTCAAGCATCTAATTTGGGTGGTAGGGGAGGCTGTGTCACTGGATCCTACAGGACACCTACTGCGTTAGGCTATGCTACCAAGACACAGAGTCAAAGCAGCTCTACCTAACTCATAGAATGAAACACAGGGAGGCTACCAAAATGAGGAGACAATGAAGCATGGCCCAAATGAAAGGACAGATCAAAACTCCAGAAAAAGAGCTAAACAAAATGGAAATAAGCAATCTATCAGACGCAGAGTTCAAAACAATGATTACGAGCATACTCAAGGAACTGAAGAAAGACCCAGTCAGAAATGAAAGGATACACTAACTGAAATAAAGAACAATTTATAAAGAAACAACAGTAGAATGGATGAAGCCGATAATCAAATAAATGATTTGGAATATAAGGAAGGGAAAAAACCCAACAAATTATAACAAGAAGAAAAAAGAATCCAAAAAAATGAGGAGAGTATAAACAGCCTCTGGGACAATTTCAAGAGGTCCAACATTCACATCAGAGAGGTGCCAGAAGAGAAAGATCAAGAAACTGGAAATTTATTTGAAAAAAGAAAGAAACTTCCCTAATTTGGTGAAGGAAACGGACAGGCAAGGCCAGGGAGCATGAGAGTTCCAAACAAGATGGATGCAAAGAGGCCCACTCCAAGGTACATCATAATTAAAATGTGAAAGGTTAACGATAAAGAAAGAATCTTAAAAGCAGCAATAGGAAAGAAGTTAGTTACCTACAGGGGCATTCCCATAAGACTGTCAAAGGAATCTTCGCAGGCTAGAGGGGACTGGCAAGAAATATTCAAAGTCATGAAAAGCAGGGACCTACAGCCAAGATTGCTGTACCCAGCAAAGCTATCATTTAGAATCTAAGGGCAGATAAAGAACTTCCCAGTCAAGAAAAAAAACTAAAGGAGTTTATCATCACCAAAACATTAGTATATGAAATGTTAAGGGATTTATTTAAGAAAAAGAACAAGATCGAAACTATGAATAATAAAATACCAAAATACAAAAAGGAAGAGAGGGAGGGAGGGAGGAGGGAAGGGAGGAAGGGAGGAAGGGAGGGAGGGAGGGAGGAAGAGGGAGAAGAGGGAAAGAGAGAAAGAAAGTCTTAGAAGAGTACAAAAATGGAGAGCAACTTAAACACCAGGGAAGAAAGATAATTAGTCAGAAACAACTACTTTATTTAAAAGCTTCATCCAAATGAGGATCTTTGTGTAATGTAAATGAACTCCTTTTATTAAAAGTAGACATTTATTATTGTTATTAACACTTTATCCCCAGGAGATACAATTTTTCCAGTGCTAAGTTATAAATGCACAAACGTACACAATTTTTTTCCTTAGGGGGGAAACCAACATATTCAATTCATATATTTTATTATTTTGCAAAAACACTGAAAAATAAAGAAAAAGTACATCAACTAAGGTTTCACTCTACATAAAACTTCACAAGGAACAATTTTCCAGCCTGCCAATTGTTTTCCTCCTTTATTATGTTACTATCAGTGATATATCAAGGATATCAAGGAATTCACAAATATATTATTTCTTGCTACCTTGTCTATAAGCATCTTATTCATTTGCAATATATATATGTATATATATTATTATTGCTTCTCGGCCTTTGGGCTAAGATCAAGTGTAGTATTTGTTATTGTCAGTTTATATGTGTAGATATTAAAGTTTGCATTGTACTTAGTGTAATTGAAAAGTTGTTCTAAAAGATATATTGCTTTTCCATTAAACTACTTTGTTTCTGCATTCCACCTCAGCCTGTAACTGACAGCCAGAGATTGAAAAAATTTGTTTATTTGCTTTCATAACAAAATATCACTTAAAATTAATTTGTTAATGTTAAACCAGTCCTATAATTTTCCAGTCCTTTTTTACTAACTCCTGAAGGTGACAAAATTGTCTGCCTGAGACCCTCCCCTTCATGTCTGTATGGCACCGGTCACCAAAAGTTTCCGGAGGACTTCCCATGACACAAAGCCATTGAATAATAAAAGGGGAGGGTGAGGTCACAGCTCTAGTCTAGACCAGAGGCCAGGATGAAAGTGAGCTTCAGTGGGATGCTTTCTGAGTATGTCCTCGCACGAAGTAGCCGAAGTAGCCGTGAAGTGTTCAATTTAGCCTCAATCAACTCGATATGGGGAGAAGGGAAGGAGAAGTGGTGGAGAGCTGGGGTTTAAAACGCTGCGTACTTCAGTACTCATATTATTAAACACTGTTATTTAATGAATAGTCGGTTGTGTATCTGATCATAATCTCTGTCATTTGCACAGCCTCACTGCATTTCTGATCCTTCTTCTTGCAAATTTGTTTCTAATTACATTTTGTAATTTCCTACCATGGGAACTTTTCCTACCATAGAAGCTGAGTTCCACATGCTAACGAGGGAACAAAATTTGAGAATTTCAAATGAAATGAAAATCTCTTCAGGCCAGTAACTGACTTACCAGAGTCTGGCATACATGTAAGCTTATAATAAAAGTATCACTTCCAGTCAGATGTGTGGTACTCATCACTGACCTCAGACTTGATCTTTAAAGAACATCAAATATGACAAATGAACTTTGACAGAAATACATTTAATGACTAGTTTGCTGACATCTACACGTAAGGCAGAGAAAAATGTCAGTTCTCCAAAAAAAATTAATTTGCATCTGGCTGTTTCTCTCAGGAGCTGCCTGGGGGCTGTTCCCTGTACAGTAAGGAGGCCTGCAGGATGAACCCTGCAGCCACGCCTGGGACCCTGGGCCATCTGTCTGGAGCCAAGACAGTGGGCCAGACCAGTCTGCTCTTAAGTTGTTAAAATGCTCTGTTTGTAACCAGTGAGATAAATATTTACTTCTTTTAACCTTTACTTATGCAAGATGATTTTACTCCAAGGGTGGGAAAAAATCTGCTTTGCAGAAAAAAGAAATTTTCTGTTGGATGCCCAGAATTCGACATTTTTTTTAAAAACCCACAATCGCTATATAATGAGCATCTCATCTGTTATTAAATTATGGGATTAGTTCTTTTCCCGATTTTCAGGAGTGTTTATGGAAGGCCAGTCACTAGCCTGAGTGTCTGCAAAATAGTATCACAAACAAATCCAGTAAGTGAGGGACATGAGCTGGTATGAAACTCCAGAGGAGAATTAGTAACTTTTTAAGGGTAATTAATGAAATTCACTGCATTTAAATATGTTCAAAGTCTTGGAAAAAACTCATTCCAAGTTTTTGTGTTTGTTCCTCACAAACACAAATCCAAAATATGAAGTTGTACTTGATGTTCGATGTCTGCAGCCCAGACTCTAGTTTAAACATGTATAAGAGTGATAGAGCTATGGAGTTATTAACTGCACAAAAGGAAATGTTTTGGAAAATGTAACTGAGCTAAAATCTCATACATTTTTTTCAGTTTGAATATTTTGGTATTGAATGAAGGCCTTTCTTGATCACCATTCCATGACCAATTTACATGTGCTTAAATTGATGGATCAGACAGGTTTCAGAATTCATTTTCTGGTTTGGGAACAGGAATAATTCTTTTCTGTTGCACTGAAACCAGAATATTCAAAGTTGTCAGTGAAACAGGAGCACTGGCGTTGAGATGGTTACAAATGCAGCATCACAGGCTCCACCCCAGAGGTTCTCAACCAGAAAGTACATTTTACCAAGCACTGGAGGTGACTCGTGTGCACCCTGCAGTGTGAGTGGCGCTGGTCTAACAGGTACAGGTGCTTCATGTTTCTTAGAAAAGAGTAATGGGTTTTAAATTTTTCAGAGTTAATTACTAATATTAAGCTCAAATGTTTTTTTTAATTCTAATTTGTTAAACCTTTAATATTTAAGTCAATTACAAGAAGTATAACAGGTTTTTTAAGTGATTCTAATTTTTTTTCTAGACATCCCCTCCGTGTATTTGGAGGTTCATTACAACAGTCTCAAACAATATGTAACAAGCAAATCACAAGTCGCAGAATAAAATAATTTTTGATGACAAACAACAGCAATAGCTAGTGTCATTTCATATCATGTATTTTTTAAAGACTTTGTTTATGTTTAGAGGGAAAGGGAAGGAGAGAGGGAGAGAAATATCAATGTATGGTTGCCTCTTGTGCGTCTCCTACTGGGAACTGGCCTGCAACCCAGGCATGTGCCCTGACTGGGAATAGAACTGAAATCCTTTGGTTCACAGGCCCGCGCTCGTTCCACTGAGCTACACTGGCCAGGGCTGATGTAATATTTTAAATGGGCAGAATTTATTATTTTACCCTCATTTTTCAAACAGTACTTTGTGCCTCGTATAAAGTATTTTCAGAATATATGACAACAGAATTACACTGTAAGTCCTCCGGCAAAATTGTAAAAAGCTTTGTTTAAAACAAGAGTAACCTGTGCTGGATTGTGACTGTCTTTCTGGAAGTCCAAAAAAATTGAGGGTTTACCAAGTTTTTACAAAAGAAAAAGCATCTGCTGTATTTACTCTAACCTAGTCTGCCTTCACTTGCTGAAATAAAGTACGGGCAAAACTCCCAGTGAAGAATATGCTTCTATTTTGCTATTTTCAAACCTATTATTGTATTTTCAGATCTCTTTGGCTCATGTACATGTTCCAATTACATATTTTGACTTAAATTTAAATATTTTAATCTGTCGTCTTAAAGTTTTTAAAAATAAATTAGTTTGGGGAAAAAACTTAAAGACCATAGTGTTCGGAGGAGAAAGGAATAATGCTGATTTATTCCTTGTCCCCAATTTTTTGAACTTTCCAAATGGTTAACAATGAAGAATTTATTATTTTTAATGGAAAAAATTTTTATTTTAAAAAGAGCAAAAATGTTTCAACTCAGGGTAAAACTACGACATAATTACACATTAAAATATAATGAGCATCTCTGATAAGGATTCTTCTCATCTGCAAATTTTCCGTAATAGCGAATACTTTGATTCTAGAAATGCTTAAATGAGTCAGTGAATCAGAGGGACACTACCTCATGCAGATAAAATGTTTAAGCACTCATGTAAAGTTTAACCAGCAGTGATATAAAATGCCTAATAGTCTGTTCTTCTTGACTTTGTACATTATGTTCCTCATGACAGGATGGAGAAAGCTGAAAAGGGGAGCAGTATAACCACTTGCAGTGATAACCACATGTGAGCATATGAAGATCTTTTTCAAAAAAGCAAGTATAGTTTTGATTCTAGTTCTCCCTACTAAAAAATCTCCAACTGCTCACCATTTCCTATTGAATAAATTCTCAACTCTGAAGTAGAGCTACAAAGTCTTCTATACTCTGTCCCAGACTATTTCACAAGTTACCTCCCACTTCTTGCCATTCTCTCTTCTCTTTAATATATTATATTACATATTATATAATCTGAGTTTTCCCATTCCACACTTTGTTCACACTGTTTCTGTTGACTAAGATATCCTCTCTGCAATACCATTTCATCCCACCATAATCTCAGACTGCCTGGAAAAAATCTTACTTTGTCAGTCAGGATACTTTTAGTTTCCTGTTATAGAATACTTAACTGTGCCTTCAACAACACAGACATTTATTACCTAACATAGCAAAAAGTTCTGAGCTAGAGTCATGTGCTTTCTAACATTCTGCTTTGCAATCTTCAGCATGTTGGCCACTGTCTTCAGGCTTGGTTCCTTATAGACACAAAATAGCTGCCACTGCTCTGGGCATCACATCCTCCTACATTCATATCAAAAGGGAAAGGGAGGAGAGTTCCCCTCATATGCCTTTTTTTTTAAGAGAAGGAAAACCTTTTCCAGCATCCTCTCTTCTAAGGTGCTAATTGAAAAGAACCACCCACACCCATTCTCTAGTTTCAAAGAAGGCTGGAAATGTAAGGCTGCAACATGGAAGATGGGCTGTACTATCTAGGAGCAGAATGGAGGAATGAGGATGACTATAATGTAAGCGACCAACAGGACCTTTAGTCCTCTAGATTTCCAGCCCTCCAAAGCCCAGATCCAATGACATGCACTCCATGAGGCCTTTAACGAGCCATCCAGTAAAAGTTAATCTCTCCTTCGGTTATGTGCACACTGTGTACCTTTTGTATTCACACTTTTGCTTTGTATTATAGTTATCTGTATGCTTGCCTAATTTTAACTATAGGAATGCATAGACTCTGTCTTCTTCATCTTTTATTCTTCCTATCCTCTGATACAGTCCTTGACCCTTAAAAAGTCTTGGATAAATATTTCCTGAACTGAAAACCTCAGTAATTTGAACCAATTAGATGATTTATTTTAGCTACAGGAAGAAAAAAAAAACAACACAACCCAAAAGGAAACTCAGGGCTTTCACCATATTCACAAAAAAATACAAACTCTGCTTTTCAATAAGCATACTGCATGGATAAGAATCAGAAACAAAATTAAAATGATAGAGAAGCTGAGTTTACCTCTGCTCCACCCCAATGAGCATCCTGACAAATGTGCTATTTTCTCAAGACTGGTCCACTTGCTACTGAATGAAGTAAGACTCCCAAGGACTCATTCTAAGGGGATCACAGACTGGAGCCAACTGAGACCAGAAGGATTAGTGATGCCTATTAGAGATGAGGGAACAATGAGTTGGAAGCATCCTGAGTTGTTGAGGATTTTGTAGAACAAGGCTACCATACCACTTTTTTCTGGACTTCAAATCTGCAAACTTTTAAGGGACAGATATAAATTTACCTTTACTGAATTTTCTGCTGAACCTAATCCAAATTAATGCACTTGGTCTTCCCCAGAGATGATAGTCCTCGCAAAGCCTTTCGAGCTGGTGAGGG